AAATTTATAAGCGTGAAGATGAATCTCTCTCTCGCCCACACACACACACACACACACACACACCAAACTCTGTTGTTATCCTAGAAAAAGCACCAAACATTCCCCTGTAATCTTTGCAAACAAAAAATAGCACCGACCTCTCATACCCATTTACCCAAAAAAATGAAGAGAAAACCCTCTCATTCTCGAACCCGACGTCGGCCAAAACAAACCCCTAACTGGCTACAACTCCCATCGGACGTGACTGCCTCAATACTTCACAGGGTGGGGGCAATAGACATACTGGAGAATGTACAGAAGGTGTGCACTACCTGGCGGAGAATATGCAAAGACCCGGCCATGTGGAGAGTCATAGATATGTGCAATTTGGGGGATTTGCATAGCATACCCTATGATCTTGAGAAGATGTGTAGGCACGCCGTTGATCGGAGCCAAGGTCAATTAATCGATATCAATATCGAGTACTTCGGCACCGACGAATTGCTCGAGTACATTGCCGATCGGTACTGCTCCCACTTTTTGTTTTTGATCTGGAAGAATCTTACCGCACTTGAATTTCATAGATTTGTATGTTGTTATGTGCATATTTTTAGTATATTTTTTTAAGTAAAGTAAGAGATAGGTGTTAGCTAGTTATTAGTGAGTGAGGTAGTGTTAGAGTATTTGTGGGTAGTGTCTAGGTTGGTTAATATAGATAGTGGAGTCATGAGTTAGGATAGTTGTTAAGGTTTTAAAGGCCTTTCAATCATTCCATCAATGAAATGAATATTTTGAATTTGTGATTAACTTTCCTAGTGGATATTTTGGAGGTCGGTTTCCCTCGAAGTGAACCACGGGAGGTTTTCATCCCCTCGAAACAGGTTTTCTTTCCCTGATTCTATTTTTCATTTTGTTTATATTTTCCCTAAAAATGTGTACGTGGTATAAGAGCTAGATAATCTTACCAATGGCTACTCCAATGAAAATTTTGAAATTGATGATTTCCAAAAAGCATTCAACAAGTTGATTGAGGAAAATCGTCATATGCAAGAAATTCCTCAAGAAGAAAATTCAGATGCCAATCAACGAAATCCATACTTTCATTACCAAGATCACGAGCAGGTACAAAAGGCAGCGGCAAGAGAATCGAAAGTTCACATGTTGAAGGCAGAGCACAAAAGGCTAAATTTTGGGAGTCGATAAAGTCAAGGTTGAAACCATTGGACTGCAAGGCATGCCCAGCAGCTGTGTATGGCCTTGGCTATTACAAGGACAAGCAATTGGCCACCTCCTTGTTTCATGAAAATTGAACTTTGAGGACAGTATTTAAAAAGAAGTGGGATGACCTTCTCCTTTTCTACCTGACACATCAAACTTTGGGGACAAATTTTATTTAAGGGGAATGTAATGTTGTGTATATTTTCAGTATAACTTTTAAGTAACATTAGATGTAGTTATTAGTGAGTTAGTAATAAAGTATTTGTGGTTAGCTTTTAGGTGGTTACTTAGATAGTGGGCTCATGGATTAGGTTAATTGTGAAGTTAGTTTTTATCATCTTGTATTTGAAGGTCCTTCAATTAATAAAAGGGATATGTTGGATTTGTGATTAAGTTTCCTAGTGGAGGTTTTGGAGATTGGTTTCCCTCGAAGTGAACCACCGAAGGTTTTCACCCCTTTTTCGAGCGGGTTTTTCTTTCCCCAATTCAATTTTTTGTTTTGTTTATATTTCTTCAAAAATGTCTACGTAACATTTGGTATCAAAGTGAGGCGATCCTATTATTGGCTACTCCATTGGAAATTTTGAAATTGATGCGTGACAATTTCCAAAAACATTCCACAAGTTGATTGAGGAAAATCGACGCATGAAAGAAGGTTTCAGCAAACTCAAGAAAATTCTTCTAGAGGAAAATTCAGATGCCAATCAACTTGTTTTATACTTTCATTACCAAGATCGTGAGCAGGTACTTCTATGCAAGAAAAATGCATCAATTGATCATCCATCAAGTAATCATAAAATAAATTGTTCTATTGATGAGAAGTTGAAGAAGTCTTCCACCAGGACAAAACAAAATGTCAGTTGCAAGAGAATTGAAGGTTCACATATTGAAGGGATAGCACAAAAGGCTAAATTTTGGGAGTCGATGGAGTCAAAGTTGCAACCACTAGACTGTGAGGCATGCCTAGGAATTGTGTACGACCTTGCCTATTACAAGGACAAGCAACTGATGGAGCATGTTCAAGCTACCCATATAAATCCAGCCCTTTGGATCATTATTGTAGGTCGTTTTGGAGTCGTGAGGCCAAATATCACGTTGATTGTTATGAGGACACGGAGGTGGGTTGGCTGCTTCCTTGTTTCATGACAATTAAACTTTGAGGACAATTTTTAAAAGGAAGTGGGATGACTCCTCATAGTATTTGTGAGAATGTTCTAGTTGGTTACTTAGATGGTGGTGTCATGGGTTAGGTTAGTTGTTATGATAGTTTTTATCATTTTATATTTAAAAGCTCTTCATCAATGAAATGGATATGTTGGATTTCTGGTTAGCTTTCCTAGTAAACATTTTGGAGATCGGTTTCCCTCAAAATGAACTACTAGAGACTTTCACTCTCCTATAAGTGGATTTTTTTCCCAGTTCTATTTTCGTTTTGTTTATATTTTCTCAAAAAATGTGCACGTAACACATGTATATATGTAGTTTATGATTTACTTTTTGAATAAATGACATGTAAACCCTATGGATTGGACAACTTGCAAATAATTTGATTTGATGGTAGAAGCATGTTACGATCTTACATTGGTTAAAAATATGATTAGATGGGTGTAGATGAACTCTTCGGCACCCCTTGAAAACCAATTTTAAATTTCATAACAAAATATGAACAGAACCATCTTAGAAAATAGTGATCATTCACAGAGACAGAACAAGGACTCCATCTTGAAGGCCAAACAATGACATACTCTAAGAATTTTACGTAACAGTATATGTTTTTAGTTATACAAATATATGAAATCCAATTTCATACAATACCATTGTAGTTTGGATTATCAAATCCAAAAATTGGCTCTTATAATTGTAAAAGTTAGTCTATGATAGTGTCACAATCCTTTTGGTCGACGTAACGTAATGACTTTTTGAATAAATTACCCTCACATATAAGATTTTCACACAATACCATAGTAAAATTAAGTCATGAGTCATTGCATTGTTTTTTATATGAGCAACATTTATAATTTGATTTTGTTAAAATTTCGCACATATTTTTAATTTTCTATAGTCATTAGACTTGTCCAATCAATTATCTTCGATGGTAAGAATAATACTCATCTATCTATCTAATATTATGGGTAGAAAATTGGATTCTTAACTTATAAAAGCACAACAACGGTCAAGACTAATCCGATTTTCATTTACTTTGATCCAATGATATAAAATTCATCTCAAAAAAATTTTTCCCCTAAAAAATACCACTTTTTTTGCATAACTTCCAATGCTACACACCTTAACTAACATACTCCCCTATACCAAACAATATCATTAATCCACATCAATTTTTTTCTTCTCTTTCCCCTTACCTCTCTCTGTTCACTTTAATTTAAAATTATGTAANCCTAATCTTGATCAGCCCAGATAGCACCACTCTCAAGTATGAGGCGGAGTACGAAGCCCTCCTATTTGGTTTAAGATTGGCAGTAGAAATGGAAGCTCAACACCTCGCCATCTACAATGACTCTCAACTGATAGTTAATCAAGTGAAGGGCAAGTTCGAAGCCAAAGGAGCCAGGATGCAAGAATACCTTAGCATGGAGAGAAGCATGATCGCAAAGTTTCACTACTTCCAGATAAGCCACATCCCTAGAGAAGAAAACATGACCGTTGATGCACTCGCAAGGCTCGCCTCATTTGTGGAAACCCCATCAGGGGAACCAACATTCATTGGTCACCAGTTCGAGCCAAGCAAATTGGACATGAAGGCCACAAATGTCAACTATGCATCAGCTGAGTCAAACTAGATGACCCCAATAAGGGCATACCTCAAAAAAGGTGTTCTGTTAGATGATCCTCTAGAGGCCAAGAAGCTGAGGATAAAAGCCTCCAAGTTTGCCATCCTACAGGACACTTTATACAAGAAAGGCTATTCCTTGCCCTTGTTACAATGCATTTCACCCGAAGAAGCTCACTATGCCTTGCGAGAGATCCACGAGAGGATTTGTGGGAACCACTCTGGAGGGCGCTCCCTTGCCCATAAGGCACTAAGACAAGGCTATTTTTGGTCTTCCATGGTAAGGGACACTTAGGAGTTCTCCAAGAAATGTGACAAGTGTCAATGCTTCGCAACTGAGTCCAGGCAACCACCGGAAGAGCTAACAACCATTTCAAGTCCATGGCCTTTCTCCAAGTAGGGCATCAACATCCTAGGCTTATTGCCTCTTAGCAAAGGACAGTGCAAGTTCGTGATAGTGGCAGTCGACTATTTCACCAAGTGGACAGAGGCTAAACCCTTAGCTAAAATCACAGACACAAAGGTCCAAGATTTTATCTAGAAGAGCTTGGTCTGTTGCTTCGGGATTCCCCATGCCATTGTCAGTGATAACGTCAAGCAGTTCGACAACAAGCTGCTGAACTCCTTCTGCTCCGACCTTCAGATAAAACAACCTCACTCCAGCCCAGCATACCCACAGGCAAATGGACAAGTAGAGGTCATGGTGAGAACGGTGCTATGTAACTTAAAGACAAGGCTTGAAAGAGCGAAGGGTCTTTGAATGGATGAACTACTAGGCGTATTGTGGGCCTATCGAACCACGCCAAGAACTCCTACTAGAGAGACGCCTTTCTCCCTTGCCTTTGGAACCGAGGCGATTATCCCTGTGGAGATAGGGGTACACTCTCTAAAGGTCCAGCACCACAATCTTATCACCAATGAGGAAGGACTCCGCATCAACCTCGACTTGATGGAGGAGGCAAGGGAAATGACCGTGGTCCGCAATGCAAAGTACAAATAACGCATGGCGAAGTACTACAATTCGAGGGTGAAGCCTCATTATTTCCAACCAGGGGACTTGGTCCTCAAGAAAGTAATCCTCGCCACAAAGGATGCATGCGAAGGGAAACTGTGACCAAATTAGGAAGGACCCTACCTCATAACAAAAGTAGTGAGGCCAGACACCTACAAGATCCAGAATTTTAAGGAGAAATTCTTACTCCATCCATGGAATGCGGAACACTTGAAGTGGTATTACCAATGACACCTTGAGAGTATCAAAGTAGTGGAAGTTGGGACTTGATTATATTTTTTGGGTCATTACCCAGTNATTACCAATGACACCTTGAGAGTATCAAAGTAGTGGAAGTTGGGACTTGATTATATTTTTTGGGTCATTACCCAGTATTCAATGTATTTTTTTGGGAATTATTACCTAATATTGCTAGATTAATAAAATTTTCTACGATTTTACTCCAAAAAGATATTTTGCATTTCATTTCAAAGAAGTATCAATACAAAAGTGAGGCTATAAACCGCCTTTCTTAAAAAAAAAAATCAAAAGTCTCAAACACTCTAACTGCTCTCACGGTCGTCCTCCACCTCTTCCTCGTCATCCTCAATATCATTAGAGCCCTCTTTACTATCATCAGTAGGCACGAAACCTGAGAAGTCAATATCAGGGAAAGCAACAAAGATCTTCCCTCGGAGCTCCTCGTAACCTTCAACGAAAGCATCTACAAGGTCATTCTCCAAGTCCACCTCAGCACAAAAAGCCCTTTCCCGAGCAGCCTCTACCTCTACCTCCTTAGCAGCCTCTTTGAGCATGGCCCTCCCATGAGCCTCTGCAAGCTCGACCTCCCTAAGCATATTCCTCTTGTGGATCGTTAGATGCTTAGCCTCAAGTTTAGTTGCCCACTCACGGGCCTCAATAAGCTCACCTTTCCTAAGCGCGTCCCTCTTGCTGGTCGCCAAAAGCCCAGACTCAAGCTTGGATGCCCTCTCATGAGCTGTAAAAAACTCATCTCGAGAAGTACTACTAGCTGCCTCGAACCTGGCAATCTTCTCCTGAGCAATAAGAAGCTCTTTTTGCATGACGTCAAGATCCAGCTTCAGCTTGTCGTGATTATAGGCCCTTGAAATCAAGCAGATAGATGAAGACAAAACCTGAAAAAGGTAAAAGATGGAGAGGTGACAAAAGACATAAGAAGGAAGTGGAGAAAGGGAAATAGCAAACCCTTACCTGAGCTAGGCCTTCCAAATATGTGTCGACAACCCTCTCAGTGCCCGAAGTGCTAAGCTGACAGACTTCGGGTGCAAACACAA